GCTTTGCTTGGATCCAAAGACAGTCCATTCTTTTTTTTTTTTTTTTTTTTTTTTTAAGGAAGACACATTCAAGACAGTCCATTCTTAACTGTAACCTGAGAGCAAACTGAAAACATAGCTGGGCGGGGTACTGGTGGTTTAAGATCGAACATTTCACTCACGTGAAATTCATTGCAATTTAGCAGGAACAACCCTCCAAACACGTCTTGCAGCTGGGGTTCCGCGTTCACATAACTGCAGTCCGTATGGAAGCAGATCAGATCATTGCTCAGAGTCAGAGAGAGAGTTTTGAGAAACTTAAGATTCTCACTTGTTTTAAGAGTCAGTTTAGTTTCCCTGGAAGTACCATACTTGTGGCATACGTATCTGTGTGCTACTGTCTTCTCCCGAGCACAATGCACCCTGATTTTGAATGTATACGAGCCACCTTTCAGATCCCATCGGACAAATGAGGGTGCGCTGTGTGTCGGGCCCTTCGGGGGAAGACAGTAGCTACTGTCTGTTAATCACTGTCGATCGTATCATTACGTTTGATATGCATGGCAGGAAATGATGCTTCCTCGGGGACGGTGCTCTTGTGGGGCTTCTTTGCTTAGTCCAGAAGTCACTCACAGAGGGTGTAGCTCACTTCTGAAAGTGGGGTCCCGTTGGCTCACTTCTGAAAGTGGGGTCCCGTTGGCTCACTTCTGAAAGTGGGGTCCCGTTGGCTCACTTCTGAAAGTGGGGTCCCGTTTTTGGAGAGTGGTCAAGAAGTGGGGTACCATTGGGACAATTCTGAAGTTTCCCTCCTCGTTTACCTTGTGTGTCCACTCACTCACAAAGGGTGTAGTTCACTGTCGCCGACAAGGGATGCTTGTGCACTGTTGCCGCTCATGCCAAGCAGAAGGCAACAACTGGCGCCGTGAGTCCATGACCCTCCCTTTCTCGTTTTCGTGGGGCTTCTTTGGTTGTTGTCCATATACTTTTCCTTTTGAGAAGTATGCTGCAGGTAGGTGGCCTTGGCACCCGCCGGAGCTTGGGCGTTGCTTCCTTGTTTACCCCCTGTGCCTGCTTGCAATGAAAGTCGTGCTTCCTTGTCGAGTAACAGTAGGGCTTCTGCCTTGCTATTTCTAAGACCAGCAGCGGGCAATAAATTGCCCCCCTAACCCTCCTCTTCTGGCTTCCGTAGTCCTCGTTCTGTTGATGCGTCTTGAGAAAAAACAAGAGAGGTGATGCTACGGCGAGATGGCCCTAGCACCAATCTAAGTTTGAATGTTGCCTCCTTTTCCACTCGGAGCACTACTCGTGGTGGATGTTGTGGAGTTTTGTAAGCAACAGGAGCACCTTTTGTCTCGCTATTTTGCTAGTCCCAGCAGCAGGCAGTACACTGACCCCTTCGCCTCCTCCTCCTGGCAACCGTAGGCCTTCTTCGGGCATCTGTTTGGCCTTCTTTGGTTGATGTTCCTTCCTCGAATGCTGCAAGGAGGTGGTCTTAGTGCCACTTCCAGTTTGGAGAACATGCTTCCATGTTCACTCCCTGTGCCTTCTTTATTCTTAAAAGGACAAACCAGGCATGGAAACGAGCCCAGTGCCCAAGGGTTGAGTTGTGAGAATGTAATACAGTCTAGGTACCAAGGCTTAAATGACCTGTCTTCGGCTTCAGGGTACAACAATCCGTGTTCTGAAGCGAAACTAGATGATGGTAAAAGATACATGTCAATGAGATGACAAAGAAAGTGCATCTTCAAATGAAAGTTGTGTTTCCTTGTCATCTGCAGGAGGTGCTGCCAATGAGCTCCCTCCCTCACACTCAACTTCTGCCTTTTGCGGGCCTCCTTTGGTTGGTGTGTCTTGACAATCTTTTGAGAAGCGGTGCTGCAGGGAAGTGGCATTAGCACCAGTCTGACTTTGAACCTTGCCTCCTTGTGATGGAAGCCAACGTTCGTTGTTCGCAACAGGATGCGCTTCCATACCCTGATTGATGTCCGCAACAGGATGTGCTTCCGTACCATGATTGATATCTGCAACAGGATGTGCTTCCGTACCGTGATTGATATCTGCAACAGGATGTGCTTCCCTACCCTCAACTTCTGCCTTTTTGGGGCCTCCTTTGGTTGGTGTCTCTTGCCTATCTTTTGGGAAGTGGTGCTGCAGGGAAGTGGGCTTAGCACCAGTCTGACTTTGAACTTTGCCTCCTTGTGATGGAAGCCAACGTTCGTTGTTCGCAACGGGATGCGCGTCCGTACCGTGATTGATATCCGCAACAGGATGTGCTTCCGTACCGTGATTTATATCTGCAACAGGACGTGCTTCCGTACCGCAATTGAGATCCGCAACAGGATGAGCTTCCCTACCCTCAACTTCTGCCTTTTTTGGGTCTTCTTTGGTTGGTGTCTCTGGACTATCTTTTGAGAAGTGCTGTAGGGAAGTGGCCTTAGCACCAGTCTGACTTTGAACTTTGCCTCCTTGTGATGGAAGCCAACGTTCGTTGTTTGCAACAGGATGTGCTTCCGTACCACGATTGATATCCGCAACAGGATGTGCTTCCGTACCATGATTAATATCTGCAACAGGATGTGCTTCCATATCGCGCTTGATATTCGCAAGAGCATGTGCTTCCATACCCTCCACTTTTGCCTTTTTGGGGCCTTCTTTGGTTGTTGTCTCTTGACTATCTTTTGAGAGGTGGTGCTGTATGGAAGTGGCCTTAGCACCAGTCTGACTTTGAACTTTGCCTCCTTGTGATGGAAGCCAACGTTCGTTGTTCGCAACAGGATGCGCTTCCGTACCACTATTGATATCCGCAACAGGATGTGCTTCCGCACGGCGATTGATATCCGCAACAGGATGTGCTTCCGTACCCTCCACTTCTGCCTTTTTCCTGCCATCTTTGGTTGGTGTCTCGTGACTATCTTTTGAGAAGTGGTGCTGCAGTGAAGTGGCCTTAGCACCAGTCTGACTTTGAATGTTGCCTCCTTGCGATGGAAGCCGATGTTTGTTGTTGGTAACAGGATGTGCTTCCATACCGGGTTTGATATTCGCAACAGGATGCGCTTCCGTACCCTCCACGTGCGCCTTTTTGGGGCCTTCTTTGGTTGGTGTCTCTTGACTATCTTTCGAGAATTGGTGCTGCAGAGAAGTGGCCTTAGCACCAGTCTGACTTTGAACGTTGCTTCCGTGTGATGGAAGCCAACGTTCTTTGTTTGCAACAGGACGCGCTTTCATACCGCGATTGGTATCGACAACAGGATGTGCTTCCGTACCACGATTTAGTTCCGCAACAGGACGTGCTTCCTTATGGTGAGAGGTGTCCGCAACAGGACGTGCTTCAGTACCACGATTTATAATGCCAGCAGCAGGCAATAAACTGGTGCCCTCCTCTTTTGGATTTTGTGGGTCGGCTTTAGTAGATGTCCCTCGAGTGGCTTTCGGGTTGTGGTTCTGCAGGAGGGTAGCCTCAGCAGCAGTCGGTGTTTTAATAGCTCTTCCTTTTGTTGTGCCTGATTTTGATGAAACTTGCAGTTCCTCCTTTACGACAGGAACAACAGGAGATCCTTGTGTTCCTTTCTTAATAGCCTCGCCACGAGTTTGAATGTTGCCTTGTTGTCGTTTACCGTCTGCGATTACTTGTTTTGGAGTTTGTGGCGCATCAATATATACCGTGGAAGCATGCGCATCCCGTGCCGGGATGGGTATCCTTCTTTTCCACTCATACAGTGAGAGCAAGGCACCTGCAAAACACTCCTCAATGCTCTCAAACTTTGAAGGAGGTCCAACTCTCCTGCCTCCCTCGGCCGGGGCATCGGTGGATCCTGTGAGAGTGCTTCTGTCCATCTTGAAGTCAACAGGCTCCGGTCCAGACGTAGAGCATGTTCCGGGAGTCTTCAACGTGTAGTACTGTGTACCTGCAGAGTCTGACAAGCTGTCAATGCTGACCAACCTCAGCAACTCCCTTGATATGCATTGAAAAAGTCCAAATTTTAAACTGGGGTCGCTCAGGCCAAGCTCGCCAACACAGAACATCAAACATCTGAGAGTGGAGGACGACTCATTGCTAGCATGGAGCAGGTGGACCTCCAATGCTTCTGGAGACTTCAGCTGCAACGCATCCCTCACTGCACGTCTGGAGAGTAATGGCGATTCCAATAAACGTAGCCAATGCACCAAGAGGTTAGCCACTACTATGGACGAGAGCTTTGGAACGGTCTCCCAAGAACCAGAGTTGATGAGTGTCTTTGCTCTGTCAACTTCGCTATGTGTGGCGCAGTCCAGTGGGTGGTAGACCATACTTGCCGTGTAGAAGAGGCGAGCCATGGACTCTTCGTCCTTGTTGCATACGTTTTTCGCTCTGGACGACATCTCCGTGCACAGAACGTCCACAATCTTGGGAGTGGTCCACAGTGTTATCCTCTCTTCACCATGAAGGAGTTTACGCTGTTTTGCGAGAATTGTCTGCAGCGTAAAGCTGGACGTATGCACGGTATCGGTGGCCTTTGGTTCCTGATCAGGGTACACTACCCTTAGGCCACAAAGGTAGGAATGAAACCTGTAGACATGCTGTACCTGGCCCTCCGTCTGCAGCGAGCCTGGCCTTTGTCGCTGTACCAAGCGGATCGCCTCAGCAGGTAGCTGGCTTCTTGTGTATACCAAGTAACAAGCGATCGCCAGGCCCGTCCGCCCGAGACCTGCATGGCAATGTACTGCAACCCTCCTTCCTTGCGATATGGTGAATTCCATCAGCTGGACAATGTTGAGGGTGTGTGCTAGTGTCGGAGTTGTCATGTCTTTCCATGCCATAGGGTAATGGAGGATGTTCGCCCTCATGAACATCTCTGGGTAGTAGGAGAGCCCACTCTCCGCTTTTATGCCATCACCACAAGCTGAGTGTTCTCCGATTTCCTGCAGGTTTATCACAGCTCCAATGCCTGTCGCCTTGAACTTGGATACAAGTCCATACTGTTTCATCATGCGGTGCATCGGCCTCGCCATTGCCAAAACTTCTCCTGTGATCCAGTTTGAGTGTATGCCCGGGAATGCCCCCGTCCCATCTTGCCGTGCGTAGTCCTCAAGCCTGCACCCTACAGGAGAGCCCAGACTTTCCAGAAAACACCGCATGTGCTCTTTCACCGACTGGACGATCGTCTGCTCCGGCACCCTCAGGTTATCCTCTACTGCCCAGGGAGCCCCCTTATGAGTTAGACCAGCTTGTGAAGCGCCTCCTCCCGATGATGCTCCCGCGCCCATTCTTTATTAGTCCAATTGCCATCAACAAGAGCTTGAAGATCTTCATATGCGGTCCGTAATGAGGTCCACATCCCATATGCTGGTTGTACAGAGATCCACTCCACATTTATGATCTTCATGTGCTATTCTCAACGAGCCAGGAGGTGCCAGATGACCAAAACAAACGGATCGCATCCAGCACTGCCCGGGTGCTCAGGTCTTCATCCTCCTCGCTCCCTAGAGAGAGATGTCTCTCACCACAGACTTGACTTGAGCAGATGTCAATTCCATTGTCTCATGAAGGTCTCTTCGGGGCATGTACTGGCACTAAAGACTTTTTCAACTGAGCTCTGGACATGATTCCAGTCAGATGCATTCCGATCTGGACGTAATTGCAGTCAGATACGTCCAGGAAACTGCTCGTGTAAGGCGTCAACCTCTTTGTCACTCAGTGATATTTCGCCATGGTCATCAACAGTACTCCTGTTTCCGCTAAGGGCCTCCAGACTTTGCGGCATATCCTTCCTTCCGGACATCTGTGGAAAAGGATTACAATGGTACACAGAGAGAAGAAGATTAGCATGGCCCTGGTACTATTACAGACACTGCCTGCGCACCACCCAAGGGTTGTTCATGGTGTTGTATGTTGGTTCTGGGTTTCACATGGGTTGCTTGGGGGTGTTGGTCTTCGGTGTTCTATTGATCTCCCCAGTCTGGCATATCATACGTTCGTGCAATATCCACTAGTCGTTCACATGGTAGAGTCGTACGATTACATGTTTCAAGGTCACGGGTTCGAGCTTGGTTCGGGCTTTGGGGGGGTCCTTGTCCAGCTTACCCCGTTCTCTCTTCAATATACACATGATGCTGCCTATACATCTCGATACAGTGATTCACAGAGCGCACACAGCCTTTGGGCATATACATAGCTTGCGAATTATACATGGCCTACGGGCTACATACACAAGTTTCCACACATAGTGCTGTCTGTGTCTGTACATCTTCATACATAGATACACGAAGCATACACAGCCTTCGGGTATACACATACATTGCGAACTACACAACTATCAGACTGGGGGGGTCTAGTCACTGGGTGGGGTCTAGTATCTGCGGTAGGGACAGGTATGGGCCACCGGAGTTCCTACTGATATTCGGGTAGAACTGTCTAGTGGCTATATATAAGGCTTAGACCCTGGGGTAGGGGTAGGGGTATAAGTCGCTCAGGCCAGTCCGAGTTCCGCCTGGCCTTGGGTAAGATAGGGGAAGGACGGTAAGACTGCTTCAATGGGTGCTACCCTGTCTGAAACCCAGGGCCCAGAGTCTCTTGGGGCCTGTAGTAGATTGTCTGGGCCTGGCGTCCGAAGTTCCCGTTCGACAAGGTTCGTCCGATTCCGCTTCCACCAGGGCTGGGCAACCTATCAGCCCTGGTGCCTATCACTGCTGTTCGGTCCAAGTTACCTGCCCATTGGTAGGGTAATGGTCCTGAGTGCTGTCAGGCTAAGGTAGGATAGTGGGATAGGGGGTGCACTAGGAGTATTGACGTGAGGATGGGATGGGGGGTGGTCTCATATTCCAGGACACCCACGGCCTACTGCTCCAGGTGATCACTGTGTATTCAGTGACTGGCCTCTACAACACCATGGACTTCAAAAAAAAAAAAAAACAGCATGGCCCCTGCCCAAGGATGAAACGCATATATAGAAAAATGCGGCCCTGCATGCACCTCTTCTTTTGGGATGTACTGGCCTGCTGCACAGTACCGGCCAGTGACAAGGGGACAAATCCATCCAGGCAAAACGGGCAGTGCACCTCTTCTTTAGGGATGTACCGACCTGATGCACAGTATCGGCCAGCTACGAGGGGGCCTGCTGCACAGTACCGGCCAGCTACAAGGGGGGCTGCTGCACAGTACCGGCCAGCTACAAGGGGGCCTGCTGCACAGTGCCGGCCAGCTACAAGGGGGCCTGCTGCACAGTACTGGCCAGCTACAAGGGGACAAATCCATCCAGGCGAAAGGGGCAGTGCACCTCTTCTTTCAGGATGTACCAGCCTGATGCACAGTACCAGCCAGGTACAAGGGGGCCTGCTGCACAGTACTGCCGAGCTACAAGGGGGGGGACAAATCCATCCAGGCAAAACGGGCAGTTCGCAGCCCTAAGGCTGTGGTCTAGTGGGGTTTGGCGTCTGTGTAAAGGTGTCCCATTTTCGGCGGCGGGCGATCAGGACGCAAAGTGGGTTGTTAGGGGGGGGGGAGGGAATTGGGGGACCAGTCCTTGCCGAAATTGCGGACTACCTACAGCTAGCTTGGGTAGAACCGGGATTTTTGGAAAAAGGAAGGACCGGTCCTCGGGTGAAAGTGGACCCCAAAATGAAGTGAGGGTATGTGAACTGCAAAAGGGCCATCAGGCCCAGGCGTTGAGGCCCGTCTTCTCAAAACAGGGAGGTCAGGCGCAACGGAACAGGCGTTTTGCAAGAGGCAACTTTGGCGATCTTTTGTACTCGGAGGAACCCGCAGAAAAATCTGAAATTTTGAGAATCCATAGATGAGGGGAGGTTCTTTCCAGGAAAAATATTAGAATATTTTCAAAAACTCATTTAGACTGCGAAATAACCGTCGAACCGATTCGGCTCATTTTCCATTTTTGCCACTCAGCCATGTGTAGGCCAACTAAAAAAGTACTCCAAATTCAGTGAGTTTTCGCGCTCAGAAGAATGCGTGAAAAAACCAGAAAATTGGAGTACTCCTAGATTTTGTTGTGATCTTTCCAGGAAAAACGCTCAATATTAGTCAATAAATAGTCACTCCAACTGTGAAATAGATCACAGGTGCAATTTGACCCAGATTTCAATTTTGTCATTCAGCCTCTCTCTCTCTCTCTCTCTCTCTCTCTCTCTCTCTCTCTCTCTCTCTCTCTCTCTCTCTCTC